GCTGTTTTAAGCCATGAGGCTCTTGCTTCAGTAGTGATCTTGGACAGAAGCATTAGGCAGGGCTCCTCCACATCAGCTCAGGGACATCTGTGTCTGACACTTTGGCATGGGCTGTCTGGTGGTTCATAAGGCATTTAGCAGTGTCCCAGGCTCTGCTCACTAGATGTGCATGTTACTGTCTCTTTCCCATTGTAAGTCAACGGGGGCTCCAGACATAGCCAAAGGTCTCCTGGGGACAGAATGACTTCTTGAGAAGGCTAACATGGAAGTGGTTGATTTAAAGCTTTGCAAGGTATTTGGAAATGTAGAAAAATAGTTTTATATTGTGTTTCATTTTATCTTTCAAATATTTTTGTGGTACCAGGGATCAAACTCAGGACTTTGTGCTTGTTAGGCAGGTGCTTAAGTTGCTGAGTTATAACCCTCACCCTACATTGTATTTTATAAATTCATTTCTGTTACTTTTTGAAGAATATAACATAGGGAAAGCTAAAAATTATAATAAATGTAATTTTATATAAAATAAAGTGGGAAATGAGGGTTCAATTGTTTTTAAAAAAATAAAGTGGGCTAGGGAGCTGGGGAGATAGCTCGGCGTTCTAAGCACCTGCCGGGCAAGCACAAGGACCAGGATTTGATCCTGGTACTGCCATGCCATGCTGGCCCTGGAACCCCAGGCATGCTGTGCTGGCCCAAAAACTGGGCATGATGACACACACCTGTAATTCAAGTGCTGGGGAGGCTGAGACAGAAGTCTGAGTCTGAGCTGCGTAGTGAGACCCTGTACCAAATAAATAAATAAAAGATTAAAAAAAATTAAAGTGGGCTAGGGAGCTCAGGGTGCCACCTGTCTGCCCTTCCTCTGCTTCCTCCTGTGATGCTGACTCAAGCTGGGGCATCCAGATGGAGGCCAGGGCTCATGGCGGAAGCACACTGTGGCCCCTGGCACATTCTGGGCATCTTTCTGCACTCTCCCTCCCTCCGCGCCCCGCCACAGGAAGGGTTGTGAGCAGCTTTTGCAGCCAAGAGGCAGCCCAGCCTGGGGTCCTGGATCAGAACTAGGAGTTACTGCCCTGGATAGGGTGCAAGCAGCTGACCTTCCTTTCAGAATATATGGCTATTGATTGTTTTTCACATGACAAAATGAATGCTCTGTAGAAACAACCCTGACAACCTAGAAAAGCACAGAAAAGGAGGAGCCACATGTGATTGCACTAGGGAGAGTATCCACTGTTTACTCTAGCAAAAGCAAAGCAAACCTACTGTCATACTTCATCTTATTTACTTACTGTATCCTGTAGAGTTGGCCTTTTCCGCTTAAACGCATGGCCTCCCTAATAGCTCAAACCAGCCGGCACAATCACCGTAACTGACCTCTCTGGTCTGGTACCAAGCAATGAGTCACAGGAAAGCTTGGCAGGCGCCTGCTGATGCCATCAGCAAATGCCAAGTCCGCGCCTTGGGCGACCTGCTCCTCCTCAGAACCCGCGCGGACGTGGCCTCTGTGCCCTCCGTGAACTTGTTTGTGCATTTCTGCTTGCACCATATTTGTGGAGGTCGCAGTGACAGGTTTCCTATCCCTGTACATATGGGCTTTTTATCAGTGATTACTGAGAAATGACAACTTCCAGGAGCCTCTTGCCATTGTTTAGCCTGGAGAAAAAGCTTGGAGAAAAGCTTGGTCAGCCTCTTGAAGGAAGAGGAGAAAACAGTTATCAGGACCCTTAAGCCCGACAAAGGCTCCTAGACAGACATAGTCTTTCCTCCCTTGTTGTACCCTCAGGGCCAGGTATTTCTTATCCCCATTTGATAGGTAGGAAGCATGAGGTATGGAAAGGTGAAGTAACCTGGACAGGTTAGAGGCAGAGGTAGCCATGGGGTTTGGCACACATCTTGGTAGCTGCCCCGGGCAAGAGTTGGCCACCTTGCCTGTGAAGGGCCAGAGAGGAAATAACTTTGACCTTGCAGCAACTGTCACCTCTGTCATTGTAGCTGGGAAGTAGCATAGGTGATAATACATGAGCAATTAGCATTATGGAGATTTGGATTTCATGATTTCTCAAAGGTTTTTTGACTTTTACAAAAGATGTGAAAATGAATCAGCTCTGGGACTGTATAAAAGTGGGCAGTGGCTTGGATTTGGCCAAAGCTATATAACTTGTCAACCACTCACTGTCTTAGAGGTTCCTTCCCTCTCCTCCCTCCCCTCCCCTGCCCTTCCCTTTCTTTCTCTTCTTTGTCTTTTTTCTCTTTCATTCTCTCTCCTTGAAGATTTATTTATTTATTTTTAATAATTTTATTGAGAAACAAATAGCAATGCGACAGTTTCAAAACCGATTGGTATGACAGTTTCAATAATTAATACATTGCATATTGTTGTCATAGTGGTTATTCAATGTACAAGATGCAGAAATGATAACCTGTCCACAAACACTATTAGAACAAATCTCTCTATTCATTGAATTAAGAGAATGTAGCTGTATATCTATTCTAACTATTTTGAATATACAGATACAAAATGGTTATTCATTTGTATCCCCTTTTTTGTTTAGTTTTGTCAGGGAATGGTATTCCATTGTCATTTAAATATTATAGATGCATGAATTCAGCAAAATATTCCAATATAGACCAGTAGTCCATAATAGTAGTAGGTTTTCCATAAGACTGGCAATGTCTGAAGATTTAAGCTAAGCTGGGGTCTTTACACTGAGTCACAGCCTCAATCCTATTGTTATCTTTTGCTTTGAGACAGGGTCTCAGTAAGTTGTCCCTGCTGGGGGGTTTGCAGCCCTCCTTCCTCAGCCTCCCAGGCATTCACCACCATAGCTCATAAGTCCCACCTTCTTGCCAAACTGTTGCACTATGCTAGCCCCTTATTTAGGAAATTTCAGGTGCAACAGAGGAAGTAGGAATCTTCCTTTCATCTGCATCCGGTTGATTCACCCACTCACACCCCTTCCCTCTTTCAGTGTGTGTGCAGGTCAGGAAGGGTCAGTTTGTGAAGCTAAGGACAGGGTGGCAAAGGAGAGCAAAATTTTAGAGTGTAGTGGTGATTGACGGCCAGGCCATCATAAAGATGCATTAATGGAATGCTAATGTGGGCTGAGAAAAATAATTTCATTTATTTAAACAATTTGACTGACAGCCCCTCGTTGGAAGCAGCTCCTTATAGGAAACCAGGCTCTGGGAGCAAGCAGCATGCTGTACAAACACTGCAATCTGCTTGATAATTGGCACAGCCCACGGCCTGGGGAGAATGCTGGGGGCACTTAGTGGCACAGGTGGTCCTACCCCTCCTGGCTGTCCTTTTCATCTGAACTGATGCCAGGCTCCCTGCCTTGGTGGGATCAGACCAGACCAGGCAGACTGCCCTGGAGGCATGAGGCTTTCAGGGAGGAGGCTTTGGAATTGGAGCGCAGCACCAGCCTGACCACCTGGCCCATGTCCCCAGCAGATGCCAACGTCTCTGCCCGCTCGGCAGGGGCCCTAGGAGAATGTGGAATGAAACAGGCTCTCAGCATATCTCATCCTTGCATGGCACCGAAGTACTTCCAGAGGCCCTGGCAGCCACAGCCCTGCTGCCTTCTTGGCTCTGGCTGGACTTGGTGGCATATGGTGGAGCCATGGGTGTGGAGGAGTTGGGAGGAGACGTCTGGGGAAGGTAGCTGTCACTATCCTGGCCACAGCATGCCTTATCCCAGGGTGAGCTGTTACCTTTCTGTACCTTTAGATGAGGTGGGATTTAGACCTCACGGGCACTGATTAGAGTTAGACCCTGCAAGTAGGTGTGGGCTGTGGAAGACTTTTGCTGGGGTCCTTTGGTGCCCGTGGGACAGCAGCGATGTGTGAGTGTGAGTGGTCAGGTGTGTGCAGCTTTTTAGCAGGAGAGGGCCTTGGTAATCAATAAAGGTATAATGAGGGGTGTAATGAGGGATGTTGGTTCCTGGCATTTTCTCAATATTAAGGACCTAACAGAAGTCAGACCCATCTCCCGATGAGCCTCCTCCTGCTAACACAGGCCTTGGTTTTTTGTTTTTTGTTTTTTTGGCTTTGGGCTGGAATTTATGCTCTGGGCAAGGCAGTACTTGTTTGTGTCTATTGATAAAAAGCTCTGGCTAGCAGTGATTTATATCACTGTTAATAAATCTGAGAAGATGAATTAATTATTATTTAATAAATGTAGTATGCTTTCTAGACAGAAACCTCCTTAAACATGAAGTGTCTTAGGAAAAAGGTCTCAAAAGAGATCTTCGTGATGAAAAGAGAGAGAAACTGCTGATCCTGGGCAATCGTGTCCTTTACAAATGAGGAAGCAAGAGCCCCAGGGAGTGCCGAGCACTTGCCCAGAGTCACGCAGATGCAGCCTTGGAGACAAAGCCACTACAGCTCCCACACTACCCGGTGGGCAGTACGACATCCCCACTCCACGCTGCCTCCTGGCTCTCGGGTGCCTCCTCTTCTCTGAAGTCAGCTCTCTAAATCAAGCCTTTGGTTTTCTGAATGAGCTGCAGGTGGACTGGCTGTGGTCACCCCTAGGCGGCTGCCTGAGCCTGCTGTGTGTCCTCCTGGGCTTTTCCATACAGATGCCAGGCCTATGGGTAAGCCACACCCACCTCGTAAAAGCCTTGCCTTTGTATTGTTTTTGTGGGCAGGACTTAGGGGAAAGAAAAAGAGCTTGCCCCAAAGAAAGGAAACAGAGGGAAACTGAGTCAGGAAGACAAGCAGGAGAGTAGGTTTCCAGTGTTGCTGGCTCCTTGGGATCTGTGAATCCACTTCATCCTCATAGTCAGTTTCACCAGTGAGGAAGAAACCGAGGTTCCAAGATTCCTGGTGACCTGGCAGGAGGCTTGACTGGCATTTGACCAACACAGAATCACACTCAAATTGGCCTTTAAAACTGGTGCTCTTTGGCTGGAAAGCCTGCACCCTCAGCGTGGCTGCCTGCTGACCTGACCCTGGCCTGTGACTGCCTCTGACCCTTGTGTCCTCTCCTCCCACAGACATATAGAGAACTGGCGCAGCCTGCACACGCTGAATGCCGTGGACATGGAGCTCTACACGGGACTCCAGAAGCTGTGAGTGTGCCACCCTTTGGGGAAGGGGTGGGATGTGCCCAGTCGGCTCTTCCACAGGTTGATGGTCACAGCGAGCGTTTGTCCTTTACCTCTTGTGGGTTCTCTTTCAGGAGGGCTGTGCTGCCCACTTTGGAGATGTCAAAGCCTGTCCTAAGCTCCCACCCCAGTCTGGGTGGGCCTGGTGTTGCATGGCTGCACCTTGATGCCAGGGTTTCAAGACTGGCACCACACCCAGGCCCACTGTTCCTTCTTTGGCTCTGCACTTGAGAGAAGGTCCTCAGCTAGCATTAGATTTCCAACCACTTCTTTGGTATTTGTGGTGATGGGGACCTAGTATGGGTGTGCGAGAAGGTGCCAAAGGGGCTGTGGCCTGTGGTTCCTGGTCCAGCAGGAGTCTACACCCTCACCCACTGACCAGTATGTAGAGGATAACTGCCTGGACCACTGACTGCAGCCCAACCTCTCACCCAGCCCTGAGGAGTGTGAAACTAGGTGCCACTTGCTGACTTCTGCTGGGCCACCCAGGGGTGATGGGATAGTGAAGTACAGGCCAGGCTGGGGCCTCAGCATCCAGAGTGCAACTGACTTTTTTTTTTTTTGTTCTGCACAGGACCATCAAGAATTCGGGACTCCGGAGCATCCAACCCAGAGCCTTTGCTAAGAACCCCCATCTACGCTACATGTGAGTACAGTAGGCTGTGGGACAGTGGGGCACACACAGAGACACCCTTGACCATGGGACTCTGGAGACTGAGGCTAACAGTTGGCTCCATCTGTGCTGCCTGTTGGTGGGTGCAGTGACTTTCTTGGGCCTCCAGCTTTGCCTCCTAAAATAAGGAGTTTGGATCTGGTGACCTCTGATATTCCTAGAAGGAAAAGTCTAGGACCAGGGCTAAAAGGAGGAATCTCTGATGAAATTTGTAGATGTTTGGGAATGGAAATGATGAAATTCGATGCAGGTATAATGTGAACTGTACACTTCTGAGATCATGCATAGGGGTGGTGTGTGTGTGTGTGTGTGTGTGTGTGTGTGTGTGTGTGAAGATCTTGGAGAAGAAGACACCTCTATACTGCCACACAGCTCTGGTTGGGACGAGTGGGAGGTCACATGACAATGGATGGGCTTCATGCCTCTCTGTTCCTCCCCCCATTTGTTCTCCCCCACTGCTCTGTCTTGTGGGTGCAGTGGCTTCCTTAGGGATTGGGGCCAAGTAGACTCAGTGGGAGAAAATCATCAGACTTGATGATTCCTCCTCAAGTCTGGCTCTGGGCTGACGGATGCTGGCATTCAATGGGAAGATGCCATTTTCTGGAGAGAAGGTCTGGTGGGCATGAAATTGGACCTTACCTGAGTGATCATGAGAAATGTCCACCTCTCACACCCCTGGGGGGTGCTTGTTGTCTGGGTTAGTTCTCCAGGAGCTCAAAGACAGTGGCGATCTTGGACACTCGATGACTATAGCCCCAAAGAGTGGAGATTCTGTAGGAATTGGTTGGGTTCCATTGCATTTGGGAAGAAAATAAAAGAATGGCATGTAGACTCACCTGGCACTGGAGAGTTTTACTGATTGCTTGCACTTGGTGGTGGAAGGGCAACTTAGCTGGTAGAAATCCCTTAAGAGGTAGAGGCCAAGAGTAGGGATGTGCTTCTGTAATCCCAGTACTCTGGGAGGCTGAGGCAGGAGAATCAAAAGTTCAAGCCCAATCTATACAAAGTAGGTACTTGGTGAGACCTTGTGTTAAAATAAGAAATAGAAAAGGGCTGGGAGGTAGCTCAGTATGTCCTGGATTCAATTCCCAGTGCTGAAGAAAAAGTAATGGAACTTCCAGGCGGAAGCTATCAGGAGAGAGGATACTCCAAGCAGAGAAAGGGAAGATGCTAGAAAATTGTGGTCGAGTACTCTGGGAATAATTTCTGTCTTGGGGAGACCAGGCCTTATCCTTGGGCCTCTGTGTTTTCCCAAGCACATAGTGAGTGCTTGGTAAATGCTCGTTAGTTATGGCCACTTCTGCATTGGGCTATACTCTCCTTCCTTTCTCTGGAAACAGCAAGCTCCATGGTCACTGCTCAGGGCCAGATGTATTAGCTATGGGGGTCTGAGACCTTCCTTTCAACTCTCTGATTTAGCTTTTGCCTCTTGCCCTGGTGTAGTCTCTGTGGTGAGATTTTCCTAATGTGTGTTCTGTGCAGCCATAGGCAGAGCTGGGCCCCAAGGAGGGCCTTGGACCAGATGTTCCAGGTGTTTATTTTATTTGAGCTTTGAGTTTCATTGTAAATTGTCTCAAGGGAGAGAGCCTTGGACATCTGAGAAGGCTTCCTTTTCATAGTAACTCACACCAAGGTCAGAAGCCACATGTCCAAGACAGACCAGGCGGAGACAGTGGAGGATGGGGACCATGTGTCCCTGTCGATGGTGCAGTTAGCAAGCAGCTCCATCTGACTGCTGCCGTGTGGCAGTGGGGACAGTGTTACTAGACCTGCTGGTTTTCTAAAAAGATGTGGAGAACCTGTAAAATTGCTCAGATTTTAAATACTGGTACTCAAAACAAAGCCCCTCAATTCTATGGCCCAAGCAAAACTGCTCCATGGGCAGAGTGCTAATTTGTGGTGTACAGTCAATTTGGGAGAGGAAAACCATCAATATGGGAGAAGTTCCATATTCCTTTTGGGGACAGGGCCTGATGCTCATGCTTCAGGAACCTTCTAGTGCATGGTTGGTACCACCCACAGCTCTCAGGGAGATGGAGAAAGCCTTAGGGCCTGCCGTGTTCCTATGGACCCACAAAGTGGGAGCCGGGGTGAATCTTGGCTACAGGTATCTCACAGGTGGTTTTCCAGGATGTCTTTGACTTGCCCTTGATATCCCTAGAAGAAGCTGTGACAAAGGTTGGTAGCCCTTCCAAGATCTGTGAGGCAGTGTGGCAGGGGTCTAAGTGGAGTAGGGTCTGGTGATAACATGAACTTCAGGCCCTGTTTTCTCTGGACACGTGGGCTGCTCATGCCTGAGTACTCCCTGTTGACTCCAGGGGCTCACTGAGAAGTGCAGGTTGCCAGAGTCCATCCTTAATTGGGTCCTGGTTGTGCCTGGGAGCCAATACCTGGCCGAAGTGCCTGGTAGACACCGTGGGACTCCCAAGGAGCTGAGGATCACAGAGAGGCAAGTGGGTAGGACAGGGCACATGCTCTGGCTTCATCCACGGGTTTTATTTATTAACCTTCCCCATTTGTGAAGACACACCCCAAATCCCGACTGAGTGAATTTCCCGGCAGCTTTGGGACATTTTCTTCTGGCAAATGGGCCAGGTTTCACTGCTCTCTCACAACATCTTCTATTTCTGTCTTCTAAATGCATTTACAAGTCTTCAGACTCCAGCTGAGCAATCACAAGATGATCACTTACTCCAACACTAATTGCCAAGCCCTGGCTTGGCGGCTTTTTCTCTTTTTTAGGGTGATGGCTGAGAAGTCTTTTTGTCTCCCCTCTGTACAGAATAAGAAGCAGGAAGTGACGTCATTGCCCCTCTACCAATGTCGAGTTATCTTAAGCCATTCCAACTGGTCCAGCTGTCCCGAACCCTTACTTTAGCCCTAACTCAGTCCATGTTCTTCTTCCTCATGTCAGAAAATGAGCCAAATTAAGGCCTGCCGTTTGCCACAAAGAAGGCCGTAAGCACTTGTGAGCCATAACCACTTCAAGGTTTATGAGTGACTTTCTCCTCTTGTCTGATGCAGCTTTCTCTATCTTTTTGCATGTGAAAAGTAAGCTTTTGATTAATATACACCCAGGGAGATCTTGTTTGAGAGATGAGAAGATTCTTGACCCTCATATGTGTATATGGAGGGAGGATCTGCTGCGATAACAGCTTCCTCAGCTGATAATCACAGTAGCTTCTTGCTGATCTGTAAAGAGAGCATAGTAAGTGTTTGTTGTAGGCATGGGATGTGGTAATGACTTAGGGATACATGCCCCATGGAGCACTTAGCCTGAGCCTGAGGCTTGGCGAACAGAGCTCAGAAATGACAGTGGTAAATAATGATGATGATGATGATGATGATGATGATGATGATGATGATGACGACGATGATGATGATTGTGGTGGTGATAAGAATAGGACAGAGTAGGAAGGCTAAGGTGACCACGATGGCTGTCCTGAACATTTTTGTTTAAATTCTGGGGATTCTGGGCTTCCACCCTCAGTACACTCCCTCTCCTTAGGGGCTGCGATAATCACAACTCCAGCTCTGTGGATGTGGTTCCCTTGCTCACATCCAGACTCCATTGCAGACACCTCTGGAGGCACTGGTCTTTTCCTCCAGGATCTAAGCAACTGCTAGTAATACGCTTGTAACGTTCTTTATCTCTGTCTGATTAGAGGCACATCCAGCAAGACCGTTGAACTTGGACTATTTGCTGAGTCCCCTGAGCCTCTGTGCTGCAGCTGGCTCCACTTGTGCTTTATGGGGTTTGTTTTCCCTGGCATGGCATGGCTCATGTACAGCTGGCTCTCCACCATCTGGAGTCCCCATAAGTAGAGCAATGCAGATACTCATCTAGGTGCTGCACTCCAGTGACGGCCCTTCCCTGCATCTGAGAGGGCTTCAAGTCCTTCAGAGTGCTTCCTCCTACATTATCTCATTGAATTCTTATAACCACCCTGGGCCAGGGGTGGGGCAGACAGCCTTAGGGGCCTGCTGAGGAGACAGGCCTAGTGAAGATGTCCCACTGGTGTGTAGCCATGGGACTGTACTCCGGTCCTGTGATTCTCTTTCCAGGAATCTTTCCACTCTACCTATGGGCCAGAGGGGAAATGTTTTTTGCAGAAGCGTTTAAACAATGCCTACAATACTTAGAAAATTGCATTAAGGAAAGTAGTCTCCAAAAAGAATAGGCCAAGGCTGAGAACTTGCTAATGCTGAGGATGATGCCCAATGATTTTGCAAATATGAGCTCACTTACTCCTCACAGTGATGCTAAGGGAGGGCTCTTGCATTCCTATTTTGTAGATGAGAAAACTGAGATTCGGAAGTCATAGCTGAGTTCTCCTGAGGTCATTCAGTAACCCTGGGTGTGGACTCCAATCTCTTTGACTCTGAAGCCTATGTACTTTTTATATCCCAGGAATGTTTTGTCTCTCTGGTTTTCACAGCAAGAACTTATAGGAGGAGTGGGGGGTCTTTAAAACTTTATTAGAGAGCTGCTATTTTCTCATGGGGATTTAGCGCCTTCTCCCCTCAAGGAGCTCTGCTGAGAAAGCTGTCTAGTTTCTTTTTCTATTCAGGTCAAATCCTATAACAACAGCTACATTACAGACTGAATGTCTTTATTATGAAAGATTTCTTAGCATTGGCCTATGGCCTACTTATTTCCAAGAATATTAAATATAAGATTCCAGCAAGCCAAAAGAATTTATTTAATCCTTTAGAGTGGGTTGTGGTGGGATCTCTTTTGGGTTCAGTTTCTTGCTCTTTTCCAAAAAGCTCTGGATGTCAGACTGAACTATTTCTCCTGCTGTTAGCAAAGACGCACTTGATCTTCAGCTGGGAGAAGCGTGGTAGGCGGGGGATGTC